GCAGAGGGAGCTTTCTGTTGAGGCTCTGGCCTGCAAAGGAAAGAGAGAGCACGTTTACTAAGAGCTTCCTCTGAGGGATAGCCCTGCCCTTCAGAGCAGAGGAAAAAGCACCCTGGGCAATACCAGTGAAGCGTGTCTTGGTTATGTTCTCACTGCCATCTTTCACATCACCCCTGGGACCCTGGGGAGGCCTGGACAGAGACGTACCTGGCCAGATCAAAAGCAGGTCTCATGTGAATTTGGACTTAGTGGCTGGAACAGTTTGCAAATGTTATATAAAGTATATAATCAGATACAGACAAGCTTTTAGAATTCCTGATGAGCAAATCAGACGTTAGGCCTGCCTTTCCAAGTGTATGATTTAGAATAAATATTTTTCAGAGAATATCAAGTTATTCCAAACCTCCTCCCTGCTAGCTGAAGGGAGAAAGATCTCATTAATACACAGCATGAAACAATCTTTTAGTGACGCTGACCTGAACCGGATGAATTAATGCACTTCTCATCTGTAGCTGCTGCTGCCAAGACTATGGAAATCTGTATCAGTATACAAAATACTGAAAACAGCTATTAGGAAGTAAGAGAAAAAAATTCATCTTCCTAGGTAGTCTAGGATGCACTCCCAGAATGCACACAGCATGTCTTAGTATGCACTGATGGAGGAAAAAAAAAAAAAAAAGGAAAAAAAAACACACAAAACCAACCACTGAACAAAACAAAACCACCAGAATCCAACATTACCCACCAAAAGGTGTTTTTCTGACTAGCATCTCCAGTTTAAAATAAGGTGTTGGGTTTTTTTTTCTATCCTATTCCAAGAAAGTCTGTACTTAGCTTTTCTAAACACTTAAAAATTATTCACATTTCAAAATTCAGAGCATTTTCAGTACATATAAAAAATGAAATCCAGGGTTGAAGCATACCTGTTTGTCAAATAATTAAGAAATAATCAAAAAGGTTGACGCTGTTATTTTTTTGTATTCATACTTCATACAAATAAAAAATACAAGCTTGCCAAACAATATACTGGCAAAATACATTTGCAAAGTAATGAAGCATTTGTGCCATCAAAAGCTGCTATAGTTTGCATCCATATCTACTTCAAATTAAGGCATCTGAAACACCATATTAACAGTATTTTCTCATTCATACAATTAATTTTTTTAAAAACATAAATCTGTAATTTGCTAATTTTCCAGCTCCTAAAATCTAGGTTCACATATGTCCTTGGTCATGGGTAAAAACTGCATTTATGCCTATCCCGCTCTATAGTCCTCCTCTTTCTAACTCTCCCCTCCACTTTTTCTTTTTCTACACTGCAGTTGTTCTAGACAGAGCATTTGGAGTTGAAGAGGACATAGTTGGTCAGAAATAAATTCCACTGGCAACACGCACCGCCTGCACAGCAGCTGCTGTTATGCCTTTGCTTGAAAGGACATCACTGGAAGTTGCACGCATACCAAATTTATCTGCCTGCTACTCCTTTCAGATAATAACATTCTTCTGTTTGTTCAGCAAACGGTCAGATTTAAAAAGGAACATTTGGAACTCATTTATTAATGGTCTAAGTTATGACGAGAAATCTACCCAAATAAATCAATTTAAATAATTTTTAACCACATAAAGCTTAGGACTGAATAAAAGAGAGACAAGCCTCTTAGCCTGGTTTCAGGGTGTCAGCAAGCTGATGGCCCCTGTGCCTGGTCGGATGTTGGCAGAAAGCTATAATCGACAAATCGTAGTGTAAGGATCTACATGACAAGCCTTGAAACCTCATCTGCTGTGTACAAGACAATTTTGGATACACAGATCAAGAACACTGAACACTTAAAAATTAAAAATGCTAATGATGAGTCAGGAAAAAAAAACCCACAGGGAAACAGCCCACACTTCATCAAAACATCCAAATGCAGTGTGCTAGGTAACACAGGCCCATCCATCGGTGCTTTTAGCCACTACTATCATTTTACGTTGTTCTGACCACAAGTTCCCATGTTGTTATTTTCGTCCCATAAGATGGCATAAATATAGCAAAACCTTGGGTATATTAGGGCAATGCAGTATAGGTGTCATAAGTTCAAAAATCCACTGAAGTTGTGCAGGTTTTGTCTTTAAAGTTAACAACTAACTTGCTCTATTTGTCCCCATGATACAGATAATACTTTGAAGAGAATTGGAAGCATTGCTGCAATTAAGATTCACACGTTTTGTCACTCATTCTGAAATAAACATCAAACAGTGTCAATGACTGGCAAGCTGGTAACAACAGATGAGGAGAAGGCTGAGGTACTCAACTTTTTTACCTCAGTCTTCACTGGCAACATCTCTTTCCACACCTCCCAAGTTGATGGTCTGCAAGACAGGGGCAAGGGGAGCAAAGTTCCTCCCCCTGTCAGAGAAGATGAGGTTCACAATCACCTGAGGAACCTGAACATACCTATGTTTCTACGGGACCTAATAAGATGCATCCGAGAGTCCTGAGGGAATTGGCGGGTGCAGTTGCCAAGCCACTTGCCATGACATTTGAAAAGTCATGGCAGTCAGGGGAAGTCCCCAGTGACTAGAAAAAAAGAAGCATCACACCCATTTTTAAAAAGGGTAGAAAGGAGGGCCCTGGGAACTACTGACCTGTCAGCCCCATCCCTGTGCCTGGGAACAAATCATCCTAGAAGTTGTGCTAAGGCACATGGAGAACAGAAAAGTGATTTGAGACAGCCAGAATGGCTTCACCAAGTGCAAGTCCTGCCTGACCAACCTAGTGCCCTATGATGGAGTGATGATATCAGTGGACAAGGGAAGAGCTATGGATGTTGTCTATCTGGACTTCTCTAAGGCCTTTGACTCGGTCCTCTACAACATCCTTCTCTGTGAAATGGAGAGAGATGGATTTGATGGGTGTTTCAATGGATAAGGAACTGGTTAAACAGTTGTGAGGGCAGTGGTCAATGTCCAGATGGAGATGAGTGACAAGAGGTATCCCTTACTGGTCCATACTGTTTGTGCTGTTCAATATCTTCACTTGAAATATATACAGTGGGACTGAGTGCACCCTCAGCAGACAACATCAATCTTGAGTGGTGCAGTTGACACACCTGAGGGATAGGATATCATCCAGAAGGACCTGGAGAAGCTTGACAACATCAATCTTGAGTGGTGCAGTTGACACACCTGAGGGATAGGATATCATCCAGAAGGACCTGGAGAAGCTTGAGAAGTAGATCCATGTGTCCATGTGAACCCCATGAGGTTCAACAGGGACAAATGCAAAGTACCATACCTGGGTCACAGCAATCCCCAGGATCAGTACATGCTGGGGGATGAAGGGATTGAGAACAGCCCTGTGGAGAAGGACCTGGGAATACTGCTGAATGAAAAGCTGGACATGAGCCACCAACATGCACATGCAGCCCAGAATGCCAACCATATTCTGGGCTGCACCAAAAGAAGCATGTCCAGCAGGTCAAGCGAGGTGATTCTGCCCCTCTACACCACTCTGCTGAGACCTCACCTAGACTACTGCATCCAGCTCTGCAGTCCTCAGCACAGGAAAGACATCGATCTGTTGGAGTGGTCCAGAAGAGGACCACAAAAATGATAAGTGGGATCGAACACCTTGCCTGTGACGAATGGCTGAGAGAGTAGGAATTGTTCAGCCTGGAGAAGCCAAGGCTCTGGAGAGACCTTACTGTGACCTTTCAGTACTTAAAGGGGGGGCCTGTAAGAACCATAGAATCACAGAATGTCTGGGTTGAAAGGGACCTGAAAGATCATCTAGTTCCAACCCCCCTGCCATGGACAGTGCCACCTCCCACTAGACCAGGTTGCACAAGGCCATATCCAACCTGGCCTTGAACACTTCCAGTGATGGAGCAACCACAGCTTCCCTGGATAACCTCTTTCAGTGTCTCATCACTCTCAGAGTGAAGAACTCCTTCCTTACACCTAATCTAAATCCACCATCTTCCCATTTGAACCCATCACCCCATGTCGTATCACTGCAGCCCATGTAACAAGTCCCTCCCCAGATTTCTCGTAGGACTTCTTCAGATTCAGGAAGGCTGTAATAAGGTCTCCCCAGAGCCTTCTCCATAACCTCTTTCAGTGTCTCATCACTCTCAGAGTGAAGAACTCCTTCCTTACACCTAATCTAAATCCACCATCTTCCCATTTGAACCCATCACCCCATGTCGTATCACTGCAGCCCATGTAACAAGTCCCTCCCCAGATTTCTCGTAGGACTTCTTCAGATTCAGGAAGGCTGTAATAAGGTCTCCCCAGAGCCTTCTCCCTTCCAGGCTGAACAACCCCAATTCTCTCAGCCTGATCTCATAAGAGAGGGTGTTCCAGCTCCCGACAATCTTCGTGACCCTCCTCTGGACCCACTCTAACAGGTCCATGTCCTTCTTGTGTTGGGGGCTGCAGATCTGGATGCAATACGCCAGCTGGGGTCTCACCAGAGCAGAGGGGGAGAATCACCTGACCTGCTGGGGTGAAAGAAAAGATTGGGACAGCCTTTTTAGCAGGGCCTGTTGTGACAGTACAAAAGGTAACAGTTTTAAACTAAAAGAGGGTAGATTTAGACTAGATAAAAGGAAGGATTTCTTTTTTACAGTGAGGGCGAAAACACTGGAACAGGTAGGTTCACTACCAGAGGTGGCAAATACCCCACCCCTGCAAACATTCAAGGTCAGGTTGGATAGGGTTCTGAGCAACCATATCTAGCTGAAGATGTCTCTGCTCACTGCAAGGAGTTAGACTAGATGACTTTTAAAGGTCCCTTCCAACCCAAACCATTCTATGATTCTATGGATCCCAAGAATCTCCTTCCAAGAGAGGGCGGAAGTATGTAACCTAGTATTTTTAAAAAGCCAATATCTAAACTTATTCCTAGGGAAATAAGATTAACAAAATAGACTCCGAAGCAGTTCTTTCTCAAGCTGCTATGCTTAATTTTATTTTAAAAAGGGCTATTTT